AACCCCGTTGATGACGTGGAAGTCTCCGCTCTGAAAGCGATTCACCATTTCTGTCAGCAGGTCTGGCCACTTCTGAGGGAAGTCTTCCCGCCCAATAATACTGATGGCATCACTTAACTGCAAAGGAAACAGAGCCACCACTGACAGAACAGCATACAGCAGTTGTGCCAGATGCTGCCAGCATCCCAGAAAATCCTGGTTATCCTTGTCCAATTCAAAAATCACTGCATCAAATATCTACTACTTTCCACACAAATACAAAAATCTCACCTTAAGCTTGCACAGTCTCACTGTCCAGAATTGCTGTTTAACTGCCTAATATTAGAAGTTAGCTATAAGATTACACAGTAATCATCTCAAAAAAATGTTCAAGTACGTAGAAATACCTGTAACAATATCCCCAAAGTTATTTGATCAGGTTGATCTCACTGATAAGGGAACTGAGCTCTGACAATAACCATAGACACAAGACATGCTTAGAATATTCCCAAAGTTTCATGGACACAACCAGGAATGACATATTACCTGCTTCTGAATTTGTTCTGGGCTGCTAAGCATCAAGGGCACTATGTTGGCTTTAATGGCTATTCTGTCCGATTCACATATTTTGTTTGGTTCATCCTCAACCTAAAATAAAAACAATAACTAAGTTATAGGCGTATCAGTATTCTCCAGGCAATGAGAGATGATCAGCACTTCAGAGACCAACTGTTAATACTGATTTATGTAACTATTAAAATGCTGGAGAACCTAAGAAGCACACCTGTTAGAGACACTGCCTTCAATGAATCTGGAACAGCAGTATCTGAAAAAAGCTGAAAGAAATCATGTCCTTCTGTAAAACTTTGAAGAATTTTTTTTCTCTTCCCTAAGGGTAACTTTTCAGGTCAGCAATTGAGCAGCAGTGAGGGTGGGTGCACATGGCAATGAAGTCCCCACATGTAACCAAGTGTCCTCTTCCACCACACCAAACAGCACCTCTGCCAAGCCCACAAACTGATTTTGTGTGAGCTGTCTCGAGCCATCCTTTCCAGAGACCATACAGGAAGGTGCAGGTTACACAATCAAACCCCAACATTGACTTTAAGTTATCTAACCAGTTCAAAACACCAATGAGCTCCAAGTCCAGCCAGTCAGCAGTGCCAAGTAGTAAAAAAGTGCAAAGCTGCTACTAAAGAAATGAAATAATGAGGTGGCTTGTCCCAACCAGTGACTGCAGTGACAGTACATTATCTGTGATGTGCTACTAAAGAAATGAAATAATGAGGTGGCTTGTCCCAACCAGTGACAGTACATTATCTGTGATGACAGCACTGCAGTTCAGAGACCTAGAAATCATCCAGCAATTAAAAGAGAAAAGCACCTCCAGGGAGACACTCAATCTTGAGATACCTTAAACCTAGTAGCACTACTCTTCTCACACCCCTTTTACCATCTTTCCACACACTTAAATCAAAAGTTAGCAATTTTAAAAGTTCAAGGTATGCTTATCTATACCAGCAGTCACTAATGGGGTTCCCCCGGGCTCAGTACTGATTAATATCTTTACTGATGACCTGGATGGGAGGATCAAGGGCTCCCTCAGCAGGCTCACAGATGACTCTGAGTTGGGTGAGATGTGGATCTGCTTATTGCACCTTAAAAGGACGATGAGTTCTTAGCACACTTCCTCACTAGAATACCTACAATTCTCCAGTTCCTTTTAATGTAATTCTTGAACGTTACAGACGCACAAACTTTGATGACATTTTCCTGTGATTTCTCCAGCAGTGTCAAGAGTAACAGTGGATAGTTCTGGCTTCCTTCCACAGATTCAAGGAACTTTTCCGCTGTAAGGGAATACACTGCTGTTAGCAAGAGCTCAACTGCTTTCTCTGATGGGACTCCTACGATTTCTCAAGTGTCTGTTACAATACCCAACACAAACACTTCCCAGAGCTTCACAGGAACACGTCTGACAAGAGCTATCCCAGCTCCTTTGCTCCCCAGCTCCTCACCACTCCTGCTGCCAACAACAGCTCTGGATCCCCAGCAGGATGGGGAAATGCTGCCTCCTCACCTTGGAAAAGCCAGAACCCCAGAGAAGTAAATCCTCACTTGTTGGGAACAGCAGCACTGTTTTAAACAGCAACAGTGCAAAAAAACCAAAAAACAAAACCAAACAAACAAAAAAAAACCACAACAACAAAAAGAGCAAGAATACAGAAAAATAAAATCACAAAAAGCAGATAAAATTATTTCTATTTATATCCACCCTTCATTAGTTTTTTGGGGGTTTTGCTTTAAAAGGATACTGAGAACTTCTGTAAAGAGGTTATTGCATAAATATCCACTGATGTTTGCTACACAGAGACAGGAGAGACAAAAAGAAACAGAACTTTTCTGTTCTCAATCATGAGAATCACTTACCTGGACGCCTTATAGCAGGATCTGGATCTAGTGTTTTCTTTAGATATTCAGTTAAAGTTTGTAAGTTGGCATCACTGAGCTCCATTTTGGCAGAACCTGAAACCCACAAGTAGTTTTGTTACAACCAGAGACCAGACAATCTGTCCTAAAGCTACCCATCCAAAAGCAGACCCCACAGAAGCACTCTCTGGACAGCACCTCACAAGCACAGCCCCAGGCACAGCACACATCCCACTCCTCAAGCCACAGGTCACTGCCAGCGTGGCAGCCAGACCCCAGACTCCAGAAAAGGCTCACACATCCTGCACACATGAACCAGGTACAGACAAAAGGTGATCTCTTGCCCTTTCAGCACAACAGGAACTTGGTTCTGCTTTTGTTCTGCCAGCCCCACAAACTGCCCCTGACTGAAATAGCTCAACAGTCCTGCCCTACATAAGTGTAAACAAAACAATTCAAAGTGTATTGAAGAGTCAGGGCTTTTTCAAAAAATCAGACCCTCCTTATTAAAGAAACATCTCAAAAGAAAATACTCTTTTTATAAAGAGACAAAAGATTGTGCAAAGCCACTTAGTTTATCCTCCCTGTAAAACCAGTTCAGACGATGGTGGGATCTAATTTAAATGCAATACTTTTTACAGAGTAACTCTGCAATAAGTCCATATTGCTCCTCTCTAGTGATCCTCCCACACATATTCTTATCTGGACCACAGTTATAGATTCACTTCACAGTCTGCATTGGAATAATAAAAATTACAGCAATACTATGACAGTAAGATGTGCTTTAATGGAGATGCTCCTCTGGACATCACCATCAATCCTGCCCATCCTTCCCAGCAGCAGCAGCACAGTTCACTCCCCATAAAGGTGATGAGGAAGCAAATGTTTCCATTTTTCCTCTGGAGTTTGTGTTTAGTGCAAGTGACTGAAATTGACCCGTCCTGCTTTGGAGTTGTTTCATGCTGATCACCAGTGCAATAAACAGCTCTGTGTAAGCATGCTTGCAAAGGCACTGAGTTCTAATGACACAATTTTTATGTCAGTTATGGCATCTATATCATTTTAAAAGACAGCTGCAGTATCCTCTTAAAATAAATGAATGTTAATAAGCAAATCAGATCCTAACAGATTTTGCAAGAAGTAAAAATCTATCTGAGCAGTCCTCTCCCATGTTTCCCTGTGCTTTTGGCTTTACTTGTCCATAGTCTTGTTCACCAATTCACATCCACCAACATACTTTGACCTGTTACTACATATGCTTATTTCCTTCTCTTCCTCTAGCTCCTCATGTTTGTTTTCCAGTATGAAAAACACTGGTGGTACTTTAGCCGGAGTGATATGATGCTTTGTGTTGGGTTGTAGCATGTGTCTGCAGAAAAGGCCCCAAAAAACCCATAAAGCGTGCTTAATACATCACCGACTTTAGTGAAATTAACGCAGAGCACTTACAGAGAGGAAACCCGAACGCGGCAGAGCGCGGCCGTGCCCCTGGGGCTGGCACCGGGAAGAGCTTCCCACAGCTGCGTCCCCTCACGCAGCGCCGAGCGAGCGCCTCCCAGCGCCGGGAACCCTCAGGAGGCAGAGCGGCTGGGGAAAACCATCCCGGCCGCGCTCAGGATCGCCGGGGGCATTTCCCGCTTCCCCAAAGCGCGGGCCTGGGCAGCAGCGCCGGGGGGCGCCGGGCCGGGCCGGGCCGGGCCGTGAGGGGGCGGCAGGGCCGGCGCCGGGCGAGATCCCGAGCGGCCCCAGAGCCCTCACACTAACTTGGCCCCCTTCCCCAGCGGCAGTTCGGACTGGCAGCTGCCGCAGCCAATCGGAGGCGCGGGCCGTGCAGGCCCAGCGGCCTCGGACCAATCGCGGGCCGCGGGAGGCGGGCGGAAGGGCCCAGCATGGTGCGCTGCGCCCGTGGCCGCGCCGCGGGCCCAGCGCCGGGCGCAGCGCGGGGTTGGCGCGCGGGCGGCCGCGGCGCCGCCGATGCACGGGGCCGCCCCAGCCCCATCGCCGTGCGGGGCGGCGCGTCCCGGCCTTACCTGGCGGCTCCTCCCCGGCAGCGGCGGCGGCGGCTCCGAGCGCTCCGGCTGCGCTTCACATTCAAACCGCCGGGCGAGGGCGCGGCGGCGGCTCCGTGACCGCATCGCGCGGGGCGGTGACATCGCTCTGCCGTCCGGCCAATCAGCGCCCGCGTCGGCCCCGGGCGCGCTGCCGGCAGCCAATCCGCGCGGCGCTCAATGGGCGGCGGCCAATGGCCGGGCCCTTCCCACAGGGCCCCGCGGCACCTCTCGTAGCGCCGCGGCCGAGCCCCGCCCCGAGCCCCGGGACGGGGCCGGACCCGCGGGGCCCAGCCGGAGCCCCGGGACGGGGAAGGATCCAGATCCGGATCCGCGGGGCCCGGCCGGAGCCCCGGGACGGGGAAGGATCCGGACCCGCGGGGCCCGGCCGGAGCCCCTGCACTGTCAAGGCGACGGGCCTGGCCCCGCGGCGGAGCAGGGACGAGCACGGAGCGCGCGGTGTAAAAGTGGAACCGGAACCAACCAAGCCCGAGTGGCGCCGGAGCCTCGGAGCCGCTTAAGAAAGCGCCTGAACAAAAAAGGAACACTCCGTAAAACTTTATTGATTTATCACTTGATTAAAGCATGGAATATTGTAACTATTATACATCGTATTTTCATGTAGAAAACTTTACATTGTTTTTCGTATTATATAATTTTGGTATTCTCTCAGAACTCTATACATCCATTGGCAAGGAATAGTCTTTAAATTATTGATAGTAAATGCACTTAATACAGAGATATTAAAACTCAGGCATTTTAAATATGTGACAACATACATTTTAAACAAAGGTGCTGAACAAACTGAAGTTACAGATTAAAGGGAGATGCACTTTTGACAGAGTTACTGTTTTTAATCTTTTTCCTGAATAGTAAAACTGAGCTAAAATCTGGGGGCTGTCGGTTGTAGTAGTGGACACTGGTTTAGATTGTTCTGTTTACAGTTTAGGATGTGACATGGATAACAAGCTGCTGTAAAAACAAACTTTTCCTGGACGGTAAGACACAACAGAACCAACATGAAGGGAGTTTTTAATCGCCACAAAAGGGAGGCTTTAGGGTTTTCCTCATTAGCATCCTCTGCTCCCTTCCCTCGGGAGGCCTGAAATGACTCCTGACAACAAGCACGTGGAGTCTCTAGCATTTCTGCCCTTACAGGCAGGCGAGCTGCACATCCCTCTGTTGCACAGCCCTTGCAAGAGCTGACTTTCCTTCCCTGTACTGCACAGTCCTGCTCTCCACACAGCCAGCTGCACGACTGGAGGAACCAGCTGGCACCACTGCAGGGTGTGGAGGAACCAGCTGGCACACTCTGGGGGCTGGAGGAACCAGCTGGCAGCACTGCAGGGCACAGAGGAACCAGCTGGCACCACTGCAGGGGGCTGGAGGAACCAGCTGGCAGCACTGCAGGGCATGGAGGAACCAGCTGGCTCACTCTGGGGGCTGGAGCCGTAAGCTGGCACACTCTGGGGGCTGGAGCCATCAGCTGGCACACTCTGGGGGCTGGAGCCATCAGCTGGCACACTCTGGTGGCTGGAGCCATCAGCGGGCACACTCTGGGGGCTGGAGCCATCAGCTGGCACACTCTGGTGGCTGGAGCCATCAGCGGGCACACTCTGGGGGCTGGAGCCATCAGCTGGCACACTCTGGTGGCTGGAGCCATCAGCGGGCACACTCTGGGGGCTGGAGCCATCAGCTGGCACACTCTGGTGGCTGGAGCCATCAGCGGGCACACTCTGGGGGCTGGAGCCATCAGCTGGCACACTCTGGTGGCTGGAGCCATCAGCGGGCACACTCTGGGGGCTGGAGCCATCAGCTGGCACACTCTGGTGGCTGGAGCCATCAGCGGGCACACTCTGGGGGCTGGAGCCATCAGCTGGCACACTCTGGTGGCTGGAGCCATCAGCGGGCACACTCTGGGGGCTGGAGCCATCAGCTGGCACACTCTGGTGGCTGGAGCCATCAGCGGGCACACTCTGGGGGCTGGAGCCATCAGCTGGCACACTCTGGTGGCTGGAGCCATCAGCGGGCACACTCTGGGGGCTGGAGCCATCAGCTGGCACACTCTGGGGTGAGCTGCACGGGCACAGAGCTGGGCTCAGCCCTTCCTGCCTCAGGAGCAAGCGAGCACACCCCGATTATTGCTGTGCTGGGGCCAGGGGCCTGCAGGGCCAGGGCTGGGCTCTGCCAGTGCACTGCAGCCCAGGCCCCTCCTGCCTCCTGCTCTGCAGGCCCTGGCAAGGCTGCATAGCACGTACCCAACCTCAGCAGCCTGGAACTGGTGTAAATACAAAAGCTTTTCTTAAGGAGAAGAACAGTCTCAGACCAAAGGCTGAAGGGAAGCATGGATTAAATATCCTTATCCTATGTGCAGAGAGAGACTACAAGTGCTGCCCCTTACAGTAATACAGTAAAGAAAGCCCATGAAGCAACTGTGAAGTCATGTAAGACCTCAAAATTGAGACTTGCAGGGCTTTCAAACCCGTGACACCTGCAGCTGGGCCAGGTGTATCTGATGGGACATGAGGGAACACATTCCATGAGGCAGTTCCAAATCTGAAAAATAATGGTTCAGCATTTCCCTTAGGACTACTTACGACCAGAAGAAAAGGAATAGCGTATTATTCTAGATTTAAATAGAATTAAAATAAATAACTTCATTTTCTGCAGTACCCAATGCAGTGACATGCCCAGGGAATGAGCAGCTACACGAGATGCAACACAAAATGACATTTCAAATGCAGCAAGTTAAATACCAGCACTGCTTATTATTCAGTCTTCTCCTATTGTCATACATAGCCATTCACTCCCTTCTACTAAATAGCAGGGTATAGATTTCACCTAATGGGCATCTAAAAGTCAAAGAGCCACAACTACCACTCTTCTTTGGTTAAAAATAAAAAGTGAAAATAAATTGTGAAAGCTTTGTCATTACTACTGACTGTAAAGCCTTTCTCAAACAATGCTTACACAGGACAAACTCATGTACTGAGGAGCACCATAAAAACCCTTTGGAAAAAGATCACAAAAAACAAACCAAACAAATAAAAAACAACAACAAAAAAAACCCCAAACAATAACAAAAAAACCGCTCTACAGACAGCACATTCCCAGCAGCTCAGAGCAGCATATCCCAAGACAGCCTCACCTGAGGCCATCCCACCAGGAAACATCTCAAAAAACAAAATAATGTTACACACCTAGTTCCATTCAAGTAGGTAGGTTGTTGTTGCTGTTTGTTGGTTTGTTTTTTCTTTAAATACTGTTAATATTTTAAGTTAGCTACTCTGGATAGCACAGCAGTTAATACTACTTTGCATTATTTTAGGAAGTGGAGCCTCTCCTCCCATCCTGCCATACTTTCCCAGTTTAGAAAAGTCTTGAAACTTGAAATTCAAAATTATTTCAAAGGTAAAGACAGCATCCTGTTATAGAAACATTGTCACAGAAACCTGATGCATTTCCAGGAAAGAGAGAAAACTCTCTTGGGAAAGCAAAGCTGTGGTGTCATGTCACATTTTGTTTCACAGAAAGCCTTCAAAGCACAGAATTGTGTTGTTAACTTAGAGCACGTGAATGAGCTTCTTTAATTTTGCTAGAGCAGGTTTTTTTTGGAAATTCAGGGTTTTTAGATGCCACCAGGAACTAAGAGATGAGAACAAAAATCATTTGCACAAAATGACAAATCAGAACTTGCAGATCTGCAGTAAAAGGAGACAAAACTTGCATTAAGGACTGGACTTTTTGCTAAGCAGTCATCATTACTCCTAAATTATATTCAAGGGTCAAAAAAGTGGGTTTATTTCTTCTGAGCCTTGTTTTTGATGTTCCTGTGTATGCTCTACGATCTGCCAATGTAGGAAAGGAAAAGGAATGCAATTTCTTTTTCTTAAATGCCTTTAACTCAAGCCTTATAAGCTAAAGGAGTAGATGCTATTGGTGCTCCTGATGTAAAATCTTCCATAAAACTAAAAATAAGTCTCAGAAGATGCAGTACTGGTATTAAAAAAAAATTAAGTCATTTGCTAAACAGGAGAAAAACCTTCTCCAAATATCCTCCAGGCTGTCCACATCAACAGCCCGGTGCCCTGCCTGGCCTGGCCACAGAGGAAAACCCAGAGGGATCTCGGGTGGTCACTGGCCACCACAGTCAAGTTTATTACGAACACTTGCCAACATCACAAGGCTACACAAACACAGTCATTAGTTCCAAGGGGCATGACTTCTGTGGAGAGATCCAGCTGATTTACCAGCTCCAGCTGGGGTGAAAGACTGAACAGTGCATGACAGACTAGAAGAGACGTACTGGATCATACAAATGATTAGCACTGAAACAAAGAGACCGCACACCTACTGTATGGACTCTGTAAGCAATAATTCAAATAAAACCGCTGACACTTCTGTAGGGTGGACACAACAGGATTATTTTCCTCGTTCCCAAATGCATTGTGGTAAGGATAACTCGCTCCTGTGGTGCTGCACCGGGGTCCCGTCTCTGGACACAGCTTTAGCACACCTCACCGGGAGCCCCCGGGAGGCAGGCTGGGGCCAGCTGTGCGCGCCTGCTCGCCCGCGGGGCAGATGTTGAACACCGCCCCGATGCGCAGGAAGAACTTGCGCAGCACCGCCCGCAGCTCGGGGATCAGGTCGAACTGCATCATCTCACACAGGTACGGGTAATAGGTGCAAGCGTGCGCCCTGAACTAGCCAAGACACAGAAACAGAACGTCACTCTCGGCTGCTAGAGCAAAACAAAACGTGCTGACACATTCACGGCTACAGCAAGTTGTTAAAACACCGGGGGGTCCCACCCAAGCCCCCCGCCGGCCCCAGGGCAGCGAGCTCCGTGTTGTTTGCAGCAGTGCATGCAGGGAGTGCTTCGGTGCCACCCCCTAAACCGAGTCAGGGCTTTGTAACTTCTCAGCCCACAGGTCTTTGTAGCAACGTGAATATTTGGTTTTCCTCAAAAGGGCCAAGATCCTGAAAATTATTCTTGCCACGGCTGTCAAGGAAACTGGAATTCCAATTTTACAGGGGTGAAATTCTCCCTTACCATTCCTGTGTGGCTGTAATACAGCATAAGCCTCTCCCTCACTGCACACTCATCGTGCTTTTGTATGAAAGCTGTTCAGTAATTCTATCTGCATTCCCACACACCTGGGAATTGCATGGATGCAGCCCCATTTCCACAATGTAGAATGCCTGCAGACAGTGGAGCTGCCACTGCTGTATTGCAAGGAGAGCGCTCACTGTGAGGAGCTGCCCACCTCCAATCTGGATAAAATAATAAAGTCTGGAATAAAGACTGAACTCAGGCTGAAGCAGGAATGAAAAACACACCAAATGCAGACATGACTTCCAGCCCCTTCTTACCTTATCATCACTGATTTTTAGTGTTTTTGTTAAAAGCAACAGCAGGAGATTGGTCCAGGCTTCTCTGTGGCTTTCCGAGTTGACAGTAATAAAATACGCCAGGGCTTCACTGCACACACTGCAGAGATGGCACAGTTCACACAAACCATAAAGAAAACCCTTATAAACTTTTTATTACATGCTCTGTTTCTCGTCTCAGTGTACTTTGTTTTCAAGCAAGATGTTTGCACGGAAAGTTTTCAATCACATGCAACAACTTTAACTACGCAAATTTGCTTTTTCTGGTACAGGAATTGTTTCAGATAACTGAACTGAAATACTTTTCATGTAACTGAATGGAAATACTTGGTGACAGAGAAGGAAAAGGAAAATTAATCTGCCTCATAAAAATTTTGTAATTGAAGCGCTGTCAGTTTCAACCTGCAAACATTATTTCCTGCCCCTGACATTGGGACAGCCTAGGCAACAGCACCACGAGAGAGCTCTCCCTCCAATTTTGGACTGGTTTAATAAAGACCTGCACAGCTCAGCATCATACATTAAGGAAGAATTATTATTGTATTAATAAATTTTTGGTCCCTGCTGCAGATTGTCAACACAAGGTACACACTGTACTATTCACTATGGTTATTTTTAGGACACTCTTTCAATTAAAGAAGGACTAAGCAGATTAACATGTCCATACTTGCTGGTAGATCAGAATCCATTGTATTAGTACCAAGAGAAATTGGGAGATCTTCACATTTGATAAGACACCAGTACTTTCAACTTTTATGTACCAACTCACCCAAGTATCTTTTTGTATTATTTTAGAACTATTTTCTATATTTGTTTAAATTCCAGGTATACAGCTGCTCATACTGCACTCTTTTTCAATTAATGTATGCTATTATACCTCTGTCACTATGTACCCAGCTGGGAAAACCATTCAGACACTGCCACTTCCATAAAGAAAACCTATGTCAGGCAAGAAGGCGTTCCATCTACTCTAGGCAGGTTGCTTCCTTACTGCTAAGTGAACTCGGAGTGCAGAGTGGCCACACCTCCCAGCAGAGCTGTCCCCAGCAGAGCTGTCCCCAGCAGAGCTGTCCCCAGCAGAGCTCTCCTACCTGAGCAGCCGCCGCTGGACCGCGTCCCAGGCCTCGCGCCGGCTCTCATCCACGTACATCCGGAACAGGATCCTCAGGCAGCATGCCAGGCTGCTGGTCTCTTGTTTTAAGAGATTGGGTTTTGATTTACCCTTGAACCCTAGAAATCAGTCCCACACAGGACAAGAGGGAACATCAAAAGCTGGCGTTACCAACCAAAAATCAATTTTGTCAACAATATCTGCGCTAGTGACCAGTAATGATTCCCTGTCCAGACAGTAGTTCCTCCTCCTTGATTTTGCTTGAGCTCTGATTTATTTATAAAGATACTTAACTACAGCAGTACCAGCTGTGCAGCTCTACTTTAATCAAAATAAGCAGATAATTTAGCAAACAGAATTATTCAAGTCATCAGGAAGGAGACAAGCAATAAAAGCATGTGACTGTCCAATACACTCTAAAGGAGATTGCAATGGCACATTGTTGTGTCATGATACTTCAAGCTAGAAGTGTAGTTCAGCATTTTTATCAAATAAAAATAAAAGCCTCACCTGCTCTCCATAACACAGTTCGCTGCTCATAATTTGAATTAAAGGCTTTTGAAAATGAGTGAGACTCTTGCAGACAATCCAGCAACTTAAAAAGGTGATGTGAAGACATATATTTATACATTCCTTGGTCTTCTGTGTCAATGTGGATGACTGCATCCAGCGTGTCTCGCTAAAGAGCAGGGGGAGAGGGACAGAGAGAGAGAGAGCACATGCCATAAACTCCATCACTCGAATTCCATTTGTAGGTGCAATGCAGCATTAGTGCAGTACAACACAGCAGGGTGGTCCTGTCAAACATCAGAGCTGTACTTTTCTTAGTGGGGTACTCAAGAAGAGAGAAGTTGTGATTGATCCTAGCTACTGATAAGAAAATAAGACCCGAGAGCGAGGGAAGAACTCCCTCATTGAAACACTGCAGTCACAGCAATACTGTACAGAACATTCCCTCTTCTCTAGAAGCTGACTGGGTAGCTCTGTTGAATTCTGAAAACATCAAAATGAACAACAAAAACAGTGTGAGTTTAAATGTTGCCTACTGTAGGAACTCCCCTTCTTTGGCTCATGTCAAATTTAATTAAATTGGTCAATATTTTTAGCTAATTTCATTAGGAATTTAACTACAGCACTCCCAAAACACTACCTGAATGCACTACCCAGAACTTCCAGCTTAGGGCTTCATAAACAGCTAAGCCAGAGCTACTGTGCACTACCACCCAGAATCAGAACTTTCAGGGACATCTCTGAGGCCAGCAAAGAATGAAATCTTGACCTTGCTGAAGTTCAACTTCTGCAACACTTCCTGTGCAAACATCCAGAGATGAGCAGAGCCCCAGCTGTGGCTAAATGAAGACACTCAGTCTAATGAGCAGAAAAGAATGCTTTCCCCCAAACAAACAAACAAAAACCATTTTTGATAGTATGTATTCATGATAAAACAACTATAATCTATTGCATTCATAATAAAAATTAAGGTCATATACTACTACAACAGGCAGACCACCAGGCAACACTGGAGGCAGACAAAAAAAATCACAAGAGTAGTTTACACACATGTTCAGGGAAATGCTAAAAGTCAGAAGAAGACTATTTTGTGAAAACATCAGAGGGTTCCATAGTTTGTACTTTACTGTCACCACAAGGTTACAAGGAAGTCTGATGTACCTGAGCTGCAGCCATGTGCTCAGCATCTTCCTTCTTGCTCGTTGCTGGATAGAATACGATGTTGTCAATGGTCTGTATCAACTCCAGCTGTACCACACACTTGATCAACAGGCCAGCAAACAGTTTTTGGTCTAATTAAATGGAGCAACACAAATTTCAGAAGGAATTCATGATGATTCACTTACAGCAAGGTAGCAAAATATAACATTCCCCTTAATAATTTGATATTTAGCGATGCTGTGAATTATCTTCTAAAGAGAAAATCTCACTGCAAGGCATAAACATAAATTGCAAAGACTTATCCCAAGTTTAACTGCCCCAAAACTTTCTGTAGACAGCTACAAAAGCGAATTAAGACTGGCTATAAAGGTGCATTGAAAAAGCTGGTATGTTCTCCTTACTTGTGTAGGGACCACCTTTCCAGCTCTCATCTGTTGGATTTGAATATTGGCTTTGTCCTCTTTCAGAAGCATTTTTATCCATGCTGCTTAAAGACTGGTGATCTAGGTCCAAATCCTAGAAGAGAGTGCAGAGCAATTCCAGCAATCTGAAACACTAACTCCCAACACTTTTCAGAGGACTTCCCTAATCCTAGATTCAAAGGCTTCCTGCATCCATTCTTTGCATTATGTTTTACACTAACATCAAATACAATCTAGTATCAATTCCTTGTCAAGTGTATTGACTACAATGAACACTTCAAAAGCTAGCCTAACACAAAACCCTCCAACCCCTACCACCCTGAGTTAACTCTTACCAAGTGTTTTTCAGATGAATCTTCCTCCATTCCTACAGGCTTCCATGTCAGCAAGCTTCACAGAGTTAAAAAGACAAAACAAAACAACAACAAAAAACATAAAATAAAAAATCAAACAAAACAGAAAAAAACCAAAAAAGGTAAATATTGTTGCTTTAGAATTGGGTATCAATATAAGAATTAAACTTATGAACTTACACATGAGGAATAGTTGTTTTGAAGATTTCCAGCATACAATTGCATGTCTGGCCCCAGACTTCAGGGCTGAATTTCTGTCCATTGAGTATTACCAGGTTTTCTAGGCAGTTTGTACCTGATCGTGCCAACTGCTCATTATCTGTAAAAGAAATGTTCCATATTTATCAACTTCTACAATATTAAGGGAAAATTAAGTATTCCCTGTTACTGCTCCGTTAAAAATTTTTACCAACACTGTGAAATCTCTTAGCTCAAAGCCTACTTATACAATATATTACAATGATATGAAGCTGAAGAACCTACTGAATAAAAAAGTTTCAAAATAGCCTCCATAAGATGGAAATCCAGCCAGGGAAGACAAGAGACAGGGCAGAAGCAGAAGGGAAGCACACAGTGAGAAAAAAGAAGGAAAAGCAGCAATCGGAAAATCATGATTTATTGCAAGATTGTCCCCCAATATTCCACAGTAGTAACATGCAGGATTTCAGGTGGAAGACTTGGAGCCAGAAAGAAAACATGTTCTTTACAAAGGTGTATTTAGAAGTACCCTTTGGTTGGGAGAAGGGGGAAAAGCGGGTGCCAGAAAACAAGAAAAAAAAAATCAGAATGCATGCATGTCTGTATGTGTGTAAATAAAGGAGGTAATGTATTGCTGCAGTCAGACCACTAAAGGTTGTTGGCAAAAGGCTCAGAAGATTGACACCTTCTCCAAAAGCTTTTGCTGTGTCACAGTAACCCCTTATGAGCCCCTTATGAACACAGTAACAAAAAAGTTGCATAACTCAATAAAAAGATTGATGCTTATATATTCAAGATACTGCATCAACCTACTGCAACACATATTGTCCTAATGGGAACTTCTTTTCTTCCAAAATTCAGTTAACCTTCCACTTCTTAAGTAATGAACATTTAAAACTACATTTAATCAAAAGACACAGGTAAATAAGGTACCTTGTTTCACACACCAGTGTAACTGTGCAAGGATGTCAGGAAGAAGGATCTCGTGCAAAGCTTCATAGAACTGTGTGAACACATCACAGATGGCATAAAGGGCATGGTTGCACGTCGTGGTCATCCACTCTGATTTCTGGGACAGAAAAAGAAAAGTCTTTGGTTTTATGGGGATTCTTCCATGATGACAACACTTGGCTTATACATGGCTGGTCAACAAGAGACACAGCTCTGAGGAGAGGAGAACTCAGAACTAAAGCCTCACGAGTGCAGATGCCTTGTCAGAAGCACTTAGTTGGCTACATGAACACTGGTCAGAAGACTACATGTTCACAACAGAGGGAGAGCATTCTCCTTGAAAATAATCAGATGGACACACACACACAGGTTACTGGACACTGTGGCAACTTTCATTCATGCCACAGAATTTGAAGGAATACAGAATGTGTTAAGTCTGGGGCAGTATGGGGTGGCAATATCCGATGTCAATAGAAACCCCTGACTCAGATGTGCAAGTTCTTGGAAAGACAGCTCTAGGGAATGCTTGCTTTTTGGGTTTTTTTTTTGGTTTTACCTCCGTTTGTTGCTCAGGGAGTTTCATATTATCAAAAATCCGAAACACAATCCTAAACAGGTCTTGCCACCAGTGCTTTTCAAAGGTGTGCCCGTAACTCTTCATGATTTCAAACATCACTGTTAAGCCTCTATAAACAAATCCAAAAAAGTATAGGAACAGATGTTAAAATGTGTTCCTGTGGCATCTTCACTAAATGAATTAAAAGCAAAAAGGAAAAAAAGAAAAACTTTATCACCTTGTACGAACATCTAACTTGCAACGATTGATGATACAAGAAAGTTCAAACAAAATAGGAAACCATCCTCTGACCCATACTCTGTCCCCGGGAGCCACATTCATGTCATCACTTGTGTATTCTCTTAATACCTTGAAGATTAGTAGGAAAAAAGAGTTAAAGAAAAAATTATCTTAAAAATCTTTATTTGTGACAAATTTAGATACTACCAATGGTACAGACAAACTCGGAAAGTTAGCTTAGTTCCTACTGTAACACTCCAATTCTGCAAAATACAAGTATAGCTCTAAGATGTAATTATTTGCAAAAATACTAGAGAATAATATATGGAAATAAATATTTCAATCAGTCCAGGTAAAGGCCTGACAAGCTGCTGAGGTTTGGACTTCTTAGAAAGCAACTTTAATAATGACAGACAACTGTTACATCAATACATGTAACAAGGAAATCTAAAATTGGCAGAAACCAGTTCTACAAGTCTCTGGCATGCTGAATGCAGCATGCACTGGGGACATGCAACTGCAATGTGACTCCAGGTTTTCCTCAGCCAGTGATTATTAAATTCAGTATTCACACCACAGACTGATGGAGAAGAATACATGTTTGTAACCAACTGAACTAGACATAACTAGGGTGACAGAACAGGAAGCACTGTTTTCCGAGTCATCTTAACACAAAAAAAAAAAAACAACAACAACAACAACAACAACAACAAAAAAAAATCCCAAACAAAAACTATTTAATTCAGTTATTTCCCATTTGGACTTACAAGACTTAACATTACTTAACTAGCCCTAGTTTACTGCTTACATAATACCAAAATTTCTCCTAAATCCAAATAAGCTTTGAATACAAACACTTGCAATTAAAGTTGAGAAAGCTCTTTCTTAGTAGATCAACCTCCATTTAACAGTAGAAGACAGTATGAAAATGCAGCAGGGGTAAAAATTCAAACATACCTGTGGTCTTTCTGAGACATATTTTGCACAATAGCGAATAAGCCTGATGGCTTCCATGCTGGTGTCCGGGAAGGCAACATTACAGGCAAACTCAGAGAGGCATTTTACTGCATCCTGAAATGAGTCAATTGCAGCTGGAAAATGCTGCTGAAAAATATTTGCTGTGAAGAACAAAGAAATACACTTTTTAAAATTTACTGATATTAAAATCCATAGATAAACTGCATCAATCTGGGCATGTCATCCACGGCATACTGCTCCAGAACAGACAAACACAAAAGGACCAGATCTTCTATATTAAACATGGCTCTTTGCCCTCTCTTGCGTTCTTCCCTACCCCACCTCACCAACCACATTCCCAAGTTCTACAGCAGACTATCTGTTTCTAGTTTGTCCTGTCCATAGCATTCAGGAGACTTAAAGGGTATGACCCAGCTGCAGAGTTTAAACAGTCTGGCTGCAAGGCTGTGTGTTTATTAGCCTGGAAATACAAAAGCCTTATTCCGAGGAGCCTTCTGAAGGCAGGCTAACTTGGCTGCATGCACCTGTCGGGCATTACTTACTAACTATGTGTGCTGTAGTCTGAAAGGCCAGCTCTACGATATTCCCATCGTGGTCTGACGCTGCCTGATGAAACACAGCAAAGATATTTTTCCAGCCTGAACGAATGTTCCCGGCCTGAGAGTTCACCATCTGAGCAATACAGCGGATCACCATGTCGCGAATAGTCGGAGATCTTAAAAAAAAAAGAGAGAGAGAAAGGAAAGCAAGATTACTTTACACTGGCACCAAGTAACTCCCACTCGACCCATACCAAGTGACATCCTTCAGTAGGACTAAAGCTAAAGCAGAAATTGCAGTGCCTCACACCTGTTTTTCTTCATAATATGCTCAAAAGGCCTTAGGAAGTCTTTCTGGAAGCGGAAGTTGGCTAACTCTCCCTTCTCAAGAAATTTCATTGACAGCTGCCTTAATGAGTCTACAGCAAAGATGGCAACATCTTCATTAGGGTTACACCCAACCTAGAAGAAAAGCATATTTTCAAACACTTATCAGTTAATCTGTCATTTATATGAGTAACAAATTCCTCACTCAAGTTCCATCTCAGCCCACTAAACACTGCTAGCACATTCGAGTGTTCTGATACTTGGGAAAGATGGGGCTCTTGTTGAAGGGGGCTTTCTGTCACTTCATCCATCTAAACAGACCTATGGATTTTGAATGCATCAAGCAGAATTGTAATAGCTAGCTAGATGCTAAAATTAAAATACAGTACAATATAATAAAATAAAATAAATGGAGTCTTTGGTTAAAAATCTCTTCCTAACATGATTCAATTTCCTAAGAAAAACAACTGTTGTTCAAGGATCACCTGTGTACATTCTAGAGGAAAACTAACTTGGCATTTTATCCGAAGAAAAAGACACAGAAAAATTACAAAAATACCAAATCATATAATGAAGATTATATAATTAAAGATCATTCCTATAAACATTTCTATTTGTACACTTTAGATTTTTAAGTAGGTGCTTCTTTTAGGTGCCTTGAGTGGAATTTTTTTCAGTATCAGAGTTCAAGCCACTAACAACACAGAAGAGAAAAGCTGATTAAAGAAGTCCCACTATTTATGCATATTGTGCAACTGGATTTTAAAACGTACCTTATTGAAGTGATCTCCAATGACGTGCCAAATCCTCGACCACTGCAGCCTGATGCGGTTCATGTTGTAATAGGAGATCTCCACGATCTTCTGCAGGCTGAACATGCGCGGGTGGTGCGGGGACGCCAGCTCGTCCATGGACACAGCGCACAGCCACCGCACGAAGTCAACTGCACGGGAGGAGCCTGCTGTGAGCCAGGCTGCTCCTGTGCCAGGGGCCCCAGAACCCACCATACGTACCTATGGCATTCCCGTCCAGCCTCGTGGAGCCCGTGAATATCCTACAACAAACACGAGTCGGAGTTTCAGCTGCGCATCCACAGTCACCGGTTACAGCTCAGCGCTGCAGCAAAAGGGCAGCACATCACAGTCCTCCACACCATTAACTCTGCCTCTCTTGTATTCTTGCTCCTTGGCAGCAGTACATGCATCTTTCCTTAGTCTAAGCATCCTCTTTCCTGCACCAAGTCAGTCTACCATGCTCCTGCCCCACTGCAGCAACAGGCACAGGCTCACAAGTTTACCCAGGCCAGGTTATACTGGAACACTCATTTGGGTGACAGCACGTGAAATTTCATGGGGACAATAAACAGACAGCTTTGCTACAAGACTTTACTGGTTATCAGCCACCTTTGATCTTTATATTCTCTGCGAATATGGTCAGCTGTGGCTGTCAAAACAGACAGGAGAAAGACTATGGATGCACTGCTGTCCCTTCTTCCCCTTCAGCTGTTCGATCTTGAGAGGAGTTCAGACTGCTGACAGTGGTCCTATTATAGAACACTGATAAAGCAGAGAACACTCCCAAATGTCCTGGAGTTTGATGTGGTGACAGACATGTTCATGGTTAGAATAAACACCGCAAGTCTGAATATATGATTGTGCAGACTTGCAGACCATTGTGATCAGAAGTTACTAAGAACTCCCATTCCAACACATAGTTAAGGACAGAAGCATGTCTTTAAACAACATTTCAGAAGGGCAGATGACACAGATGATGATTTAGGTAAGATGCAGAGGTTACATTCTCAGTACCTGTCTACTGCTACCACCACACTCTGTGAGCTGGTCTCCTCCACAGACTCCTGGATGCTCGCCATGTGCCGTTTGTCAGCCCCACTCCCAACGAGGTTCCCTGCCAGAAATCCATGAAAAAACAGCTTTTGCCATCAGGAAATAACGACTTTATATTAACTCCCACATCAAACAAGTAGACAAAGAGAAGACTACTGCTTCTAGCTACCATGTAATTTATATAGAGCAGACAGTGCCTTTGCCAGATCTGTGCCAGATTATTACACAGCTAAAATCATATTTATTAGGTTAAGATATGATATGATATTGTTAGTAAAATTGGAACAGATAAAATACTATTTTAAAATATGAACTCTAAGTCAGCTACAAATAGTTAATGCTGAACACAGTTCTGTATTCATTGTAATCATCATTATAGCATCACTCCAAAGTTTTTTAAAATTAAATTGTTTCCTTAGTGGTTTCACAAAGATTAAGGCAACCTGCCTTGTCCCTCTAATTGAAGCCAAAAATCTAAGATTTGTTTCTTGTACACACTGCAGAAACAATAGGAACTGGAATAGCAAGCCCAACATGTAAAGATAAGAAATTCCTTTGGAAAACCAATTGCCAGTTATTGAAACATCTATTAATTCCTAAAAATAAATGGCTCTTTTTCATATTAACTAATACTTTTAACAAAACCATGACTTCATCAGCAAAACAGTTTTGACAACAACACATTCCAACACATAAATGTGGAGTAGTTATTAAATATCTTAACCCAATTCCAAAGTTACACCAGATTTGGTAATTATAAACACATATGGGAATACACAGTTTCATTAATCCAACACAGCTTCCCCTGGCGGCAAGTAAATATATTTGAGTATAACACTGAGGATTCTTTAACATCCTTACTCCACTTGTATGTGCATCTTTGTGAAGTTCAAGATTAATAATCTTACCTAATCCCAGGCTCATAAACTCTTCTCCTGCAGAGGCATAGCCCTTAATGCTGCCTTCCCTCTCACGCCCAGAACCAGACAAATACCGAGTTTTCACACCAGTTCCTATGAGCTGTGCCAGTTCCAGCTGGCTAATACATTTCAAGATCTAAAACCAAAAGAAATTTAACATTGTGGTTCTGCACACCACCGTCCTTTTACTCTTAACATATATTTGTATTTAACATTTATGACCTTCCCAGGTTCTCCAGCCATTCAAACAACTTTGGCCGTTGTAACAGCTTTGATGGAGCTAAAAACATTACTAATAAAACTGAAAATTAAGTTGATTGCATTCAGTATTATCAGCCACAGGAAACATTCCAATAGAAGAATAAAATAAACAGTGCTCCAAAATCTAACCTGGATCTGTAACTACTAAAGGATACCTTTCCATTATTTTTACACCATCAACTTTCAAGATTGTAAAGATTATCAGTTGGAGCTGATCTTCTAGAGACTTCATTGTCCTAGAGATGAAAAGACTGAAACACTGCAGCTGTCACCACTTGAGTATCAATGCTCCAACCTAGACAGTGTAAATGCCAATGCTGTGCTTGCCTCCTTCTTCCTCCCCCAGAGCCACATCCCTTGGCTGGCACAAGTGCTCAGGAGAGTCTGCTGGGAGCCAGGTCTGAGGCATCTGTCAGCTCTAGCACATTTTGGCTCATATCATGTAGCCCAAGACTAGAGCCAGAGAACATAATGCAGCAGAAATGTTCCTTTTAGCAACAGCACAGATTTGCAGCTGATAAAATTGCTCCTGGAAAACAGGCTTTAAGAAAATGCATATAATCCTGATAGCTCATCTTTACCAATCATCCCCCAAAGTATTTTAGCCCTAATTTTTCATCTGCTTATGATGCAAATGTTGACAAACATTGCACAGCCAAGTCTGGACTTGTAAGCTAGCATATTTTTGTTTCTGTGAGTAAGAATACAACAGTTTATATGAGGAATTTTCTGAAGCCAAATGAGACTTTTTTTTTATATCATTTAAATCCTATATCAAATGCAGCCACAAAAATTACAATATTGTCACACAGTTTCCACAATGTCTTAAAAAAATGCAATGCATTATTTTTATCTACATATTAGGAAAAAAACAACAAAAACTTAACAATATAATGCACTTCCTTTGCATTTTTGAGTGAGTTCTGGGAGCTGATGGTAGAAGAAAAAATATGACACCACATTCACTATTTAAACTAGTAAAGATTTACCTCATGCCAAGAATTGCCAAGATAGTTGCCATCTGTGTGAGCAACTGTAATGAGTGTCTTAATGGTATCAATGTTCTTCTGTTTCATTTCTGTAATGCTGGAACTGGCAGTCAACAAGGAAAAACGAGCAAGGGCCTGCACATAAGCGTCTCGTTCAAGCTACAAGACAGAGAAACAAGCATGAAAATCAAGTCCCCAGAGAACCAGAGAAAGCAACTTGCCTACAAATGTTCCTTCTGTGGATAGCTGGCACTGTTAGAGCACTTTCCAGCTAAATGAGAGCAGGATGCCACTTAGCAGACGCTCTTAATAAAAGATTCAGCAAGAAAAGCAGAGTTGAAGAAATGCTTGATTACATCAAGACCTTTTACCATTTCAAGAAAGCAGATGAGACATCTCATGTTCTATGAGACATCTTCATCTTCTAATATGAGCTGTTTGCAATTCTTCACCTGCCCCCAGAGCCCACCCAGCACTCCCCGAGTCCCAGGCTGAGTGTGGCACCAACCTGCATTCCAAAGATACAGGCTATCCTAATGGCACAGCGTATTCCCTCCAAACACAGGGATGCAACCTCTGGGTCATCACAGTTCTGCAAGCCAACACTGTAAGCGGCCAGCAGCGGAGTCCAGACAAGCTAAACAGAGGAAGAAACTAAATTCAGAGGTCTCTTACAGCTTTAGCCCAAAACACTGGGTTACTGAAGCCAAATACATCCAAAGAGTCCACGTGTTTCGTTACCAAACTCTTCAGAGTAATTTTCCACATTTTTTCCCATGCTTTAAACTCTTCACAACAAAGACAGTGAGAACCTGACACTCACTTTGAACATGGGTCTGACATGATCCAGGTGAGTGGCACTGGTGAAAGGTGCCTTTGCATGGCTCACTGCCTCCATGAGGGCTTTGGCTGTCTTTGCCATTTGCTCCATCTCCAAGTTGTACAACAGCCTCCGCTGCTTCTCATTAGCTACACCTAAGGGAAACACACACACAGACATTGCTTGCTTTTCTTACAAGAGCATACTCCTTCTCTTCACACTGAGCATCACAAAATGTTAAACAAGGGTATTGCAAATAAAATCTAAAGATAGAAATCTTGCAAAATCTTAGAAGTCGGGAGGCTGCGCCAGGCTGCAAGCAAGGAAGTCCAGCACTAAAAACCACACCCAAACTTAAGACTTTATTTTATACAAAATAACTAATTCAGTCCTTTACTATATAACACATGCTATTACTTAATTGCTCCAAGTCAGAGGTGCATACTCTATTAAGTCATTCTGCCTGTAAAAGCAGATGGAAAATCCTGTGTCTTCTTAGGCTCACATCCCCCAGACAAAACAAGCCCTCACCACCATGATAAATAAACTAATAACTTAGTGCTTCTTTATCCTTATACTACGGGTGAAACTTCGATTTTCAAGCAAATTAATTTTGTTCCTATTTTGATTGAGAAAACCTGCAAACAGCATAAAAACACTGGGAAAACCACTATGGTGAAGATTCAGAATTCACTAATTTGAATTAAATCAGTACCACCTATTCTGAGTAAAAGCAGGGTACAGCTGGGGATACTGGCATGTGCTGCATGCTACCCAAAGAAGCCCTCCTTTGGTCTGCATAAGGAGAGGTGACTATAGATTACGACAAACTCTCTAATCTCGCTGCTTTTCAAACACTATCACAAGGACTGTGACACCTCCCAGCCACTGAACTATGGAGAAAGACAAAAACCAGCCCAAATCAAGCCCTCACTCATTGTCTAGCACATAAAAACAAGTTAATTGCAAAGTAAGTTCCCCCTTGAGTTATTCCTCACACTCCAGTTTAAAACCCCAAGAGATCTGGTTTCTAGTGCTGCTCTGCAGCAGTGCCAGAGGCACCTACACAGCTCTTCCCACCACAGAAGCCAGTGTTAAATTGTAACTGAGCCAGTTTCCTTCCATATACCTCTATCAACCATTCCAAATGTACTTTAGTACTGCCCCAAGGCATTTTCACAAGGACTCTGCACACCACTGTGCCATCCCTTAGTTCCCACCACAGTTCAAGAGCACTGTGGTCTTTCCAGTTTCTAGTTCCTCCTTACTTGGTTTACTACACTTGGTTGTAATTGCATATTCTTTTGTCTCTTTCATCGCAATTTTCTTTCCTTCTATTTCTTCATAGATTGTTGATAAATACTCTTCTGGCAGGTCTTTACTGTCATTGATTCCTCGATTCATTTTAATGTACTGCTCCTTTGTCATTTTATTTTTTACCTGTAAGAAGGAATAAGTTGGAGATCAGATTTTGAACACAAGTTCCAAGGACATTTGGACTTCTGTAAGTTTGGATTTTTTAAAAATTTCTACCTGTGGACTGTGCAAGTCTGTAGTCAGCATTATAATGGAGTATGCCAAAACATAGGCAGTGTCTGCACTAGCAAATAGTGTTTGCCTGAGGGAGGAAAAAACAAAACAGTTTTATAGACTCCCAATTCCTCAGTCCATTAGCTCTAGTTCCATATGCAAGACAAATACCCAGAAGTGCTATGGATTCAACCAAGGAGCCAACAAAGACTGAAGCTAACCATCAGAAACACATCAAACCCTGAGCAGTTGAAAACACAAATATAAAGGGTAGGGAATTGCATCATTTTTGCAATATTGAAAACTAGACTGAGATTTTCAAGTATACTCTCTACCAATTACCCAAAGAATAATAATGTATAATCTTCAAAAAGTTAAATAACAGCTTATTTTTTACTCACAGAGTTTCAGAAACATTGATACAAAATCAACCCACTGATACACCAACTGGACTAAAGAAAGGGAACTAATTAAAGCCTGACTAAACTTCAGTGTTGATTGCACTAGGAACAATAGCAACTTTGCCTATTTGGTATCATATAACATACACACATTTTGTTCCACATCTAACAGGCAAGCAAAAGCACTGTAACATGCTATTAATTGTTTGTGTCATGAATTTTTTAAATTCTATCCATTTCTACCGCTTAATACAATTTTTTATACTTGAGTGATCTACATTCATCTAAAATTGTCTCTGTATTAGCTGTTGGATTTTAACATACTTAGGGCTTCCCTTTTCCAGTAATTCCTTTTAGCAAGTACTTGGGATTTAAAGAAATGACAGCATCAGTATCCTTCCTAGCCAATATCAGCAGCAAGATCTCCTCTTCACAAGCCTGCAAAAGTTCCTGGCCTGGTACGAGCTTAATCAATCCCCTGCCCCTCAGGGCCACACAGCAGTACAGCAGGGAATGTTCTTTGGGCACTGATCTGATACAAAGGGCTTGAATTACCGTTGGTTGCATTCAATATATCTAGCAGCAAACTTCTCCATTAATCTATCAATCTTCTGGGCTTCACCTGGCAGACGAAAACCTTCCAGAAATATACGCAGAGCAGAGACAAAGTCCTTTCCACAGAAATCAAGCTGGTCTACATAGGCATACATCACTTCCTTGTTAAACTTGCTGCTTTCACCAAGAAACTCCCCTACTTGAGTCTAAAAAACACAAGAGACAGTCATTACTGTGCAATCCAAGTGCCAGCTCTGCAAGAAGGCTTCTGTGCCAAGAGCTGCACAGCTCTGTAAAGCTGACACCCGCCGCGTGGGCAGCGGCCGAGGGAGGGACAGGGGGCCCAGATATGGCCCCTCAGTCTGCATATCCTGCCTCCCTCACTGCCAAAGGCAAGATCTGCATCACTGCAGAGCCAAGGAAAGCTCAGCTGTGCCCAGCTGCACACGCAGCAGAGAATGCTTTGCCACTGCAGCACAGGATCCTTCCTTGCTGGCAAGAGACTGCCAGCAACTCACTCTGCTCTGTGTCCCTCCAGCCTCCAGGGACAGACAAAATGCACATTCCACCCGTGGGGAACCCTCCAGCACTTTACCATAACACAGTACTTTACTGAGAAGCTGGGGACAGCAAGCAAGCAGCAGGTAACTGTGGCATTAGGTGTGTCCATGAGGAGCCCTGCACGTTCATTTCTCTAAGATATGAACTCCAGAGCAGGGGCACACAGATACCAGGGCAGGGCCAAAGGTGCAGGGGCAAGGGTAATAAATTGTGCTGCATGTAATCTTACAGAGCACAGGCGTTCCTCTTGGTGCAAGAATTGTGCCAGGTCCTCTGTTGTAGTGCCAAGCATTCCCTGCTCCTGCAGATACTGTATTCCTCTCTTTGGCTTTTTATTAAACCTATTCAGACAAAAACATGGGAAAATTGACATACAATTAAAAATATAACAGCCTATAAAATCTGAGTTTTACAGAGTCCTCATAAATCAATGATTCTGTGCTGTAGCTCCATGTCTTTTCTTTCTAGTTAGGAAAAAAGTTAAAGAATGTGCAACAAATCTACTACCTGTATCACACCATAGGCTCCACTTCATAAGGTAGATTGCTGATAACCTGAGAAGTCATCACCTGAAAAACTCCAAAACTCACCCTTTTGAACATGGAAAATCTGACACTCTCCATGAAATGTTAAAAATGCTGCTGTTCAAGACCTTTTTCTAGCATTTACAGACATGTAGACCTTCAAATTAATTAAAAAGAAGTAAAGCATAGCTGCACAATGATTTAATTCTTCAAACGCTATTTCAATAAAGGACAACAAATCATGTAAGAGCTGCAAGACAACTGTGTCCCTCAAATCAACTTCTCTATAGAACTACACACTCTGGCAGAGCAGAGTTGGCAAAAAGGAAAGCTGTGAAAACCCTTTCCACTCCACACAGGATTATATGAAATTCCCTTTAACTATAACAGCCTCCAGCACTGGTTTTTCACAACAGCAGGCAACAGTCTTCAGCATTAATATCAATTAAGTGATATTAATGTAAGTGTCCCTACAGGTGTGACTGTGAGACCATAAGAAACAATACATTTTATTTAAAGTTTTCCCGTCATACTGGGCTTACAGTTCTATCCCATGTTCAATTATTTCCTTTTGCTGCTTGATGACTTCAAATTGCTCTGGATCATCTGGGACAGCAGTCTGGGTACCAACACTTCCAACTCCTGAGGATACAGTGGAGTCCAAGGAACTGACACTACTCCGTCTCCCTCCAGGGTCCAGGCATTTACCCTCAGCCATTTCCTGTTCAGATGGTTTATATGAACCTATTCACAAACAAGGTGAGATTTAACTTATTCTTCTTCAGTCAAGAGCTTTTAGTTACAGAACTTTTAAGCAGAAGTCTATGAGTTAATATTCTTATTTTACCACGTATATTTTTTGGCAGTCTGCACTACATTACATGAAGATGCTCTATTGATGCAATTCTAAAATAATCCAACTAAAGGCAGAAAAACAGCAGTAACTATGGAGAAATTCCAGCACTTCAACTTAGTTGCTCCAAGACTGGTCACATATATTGCTCTACGTCAGCCTTTATAGTAGGCAAGGGGCTGGCTAAAGCTCATCCACAGGATTTGGTTATTCAAAACAGACACTTGGAGAATCAGTTACTGCAACAGCACCAACAGCTGCTTGCAAAATACCTCACTTGTGAAACAAATTGTTAAGATACAAACCTAGCACCCACACTTCTGAATAGCTTCTAAACAGTGAACAAACACAAGAATGAACTGATCAAATAAATCAGTCTCTCCATAGAGAAACAAACTTACCCAAGCTAGTCTGATGATTGGGGTTCACATAAAGGTCTTTGCTCCATTCTACCATACATTTTAAAATAGACACCAAACATTCAAGTCCTTTTTTCCTCAGGCTTAGTTCCTAAAACATGAAGAAGAAGAATAAAATAAAAAAAGAAAAATCAAACCAACAAACCATGCTGAACAGTCTGTACAACAGTCTCCCCCTAAGGACTGGAAAAGTATAATCTTAAAAACAAAATGCTCATAGTGGAGATATGGTATAAAGTCTGTGCAAAGCAAACCCCACAGACGGTACCACTGGTTTAGGAGCTCCAGAAAAGAAGCAATTTAACTGAGGGAGAGGAAGGCTCATTTAGACCTCTCTCCCTTGGCAGTCAAACTAAAGAGACCAGAACCAGCCTGGTCTCAGTGCAAACAGGCAGCAAAATCACCAAGTAATTAATGGCACTGCTCCAGCGTCCAATTGCAAATTATTAAACTAATAAAAAGTAAGTAACATCAGTAGGTTACAGACAACATGAACCTCTGGAAGTATCTGCAATGATGCAAAGATAGCACTGTTTATGAAACAATAGCACCATATCTTCAAAGATGCTTTCCTTACCTGTAAAGGTGTCATTCCCAACTCACTGCCACTTCGTCCCTGTGCAATTTTGGATAAATCATTTACAAGACGTTCAAATATATTAGCAGCATTTAAATCACAATCATAGTTAACATAAATATCCACCACACACTGGGCATCTGGAAAATAAAAGGAAATGCAAGTATTAGGATTCTGTGCAATATAATTTTTAAAAGGAATCAGCCAGTTGGAGCAGGCACTGCAGATGAATCCAGACATTTAACCCAAGCACTCCAGGATCAAATTCAAATTTTCATACTTAAACATTATATGTGGCATTTCTTTCCAAAATAATTTTCATCTGCTGCCAGAAGAAGTGATTCTTTTACACAGTGGAAATACCTGCACAAATTCTAGTTAAAGTCTGAATCACCATCCATTTGTGTTCAAAGGAACTTGAAGAAGTCTCTAGAATATTCAGGAAGATCTCTTTGAAGAACACCTGCAAAATAAGTAAGATCAAGGACTTGATCACCTGAAACTTATTAGAACCACATCAAATGTGCAGATTCATTTCTATTCAGCAATTTCTCTTCAAGAGTAATATTTCATGCATATTAGAATTTGGACACAGTAGTAATATGTTAGTTTAGTAAGCAAACCAAACTAAGACATTAAAATGGACATTCCAGCTGTCTTTTTACCTTGAGAACAATATTTTGAGAACTAGAGCATATGCAATTTATAGATTAAAAGTCTCTCACCTCAATCTGCATTTTTAAATGGGTCTTAAAATTTGAAAGCAGTGTGAGGAAGATGGCAAGAGAGAGCTCAAACACATCAGGAACAGAAGAGACTCCATTTTTAGATAATGCTACACAAAGATATTGCTTGATTGCATTGATGAACATCTCATGTGTCCTGAAAACCAGACCAGCATTCTGCAGCACTGAGAGAAGCAGCTGGAGAGACACAACCTTGGAACGCAATTCATGGGATCTAGAAAAAATTCAACATTAAATGGATTTCTATACTTTCTTAATATATACTTGTATTCAACATTAGCACTGTAGCATTTCTTCTACATCAGGAAGAAATGACTGCTATTTTGAATAATTTAAATGCAGGGGGCAAGAGGGGTGGAAATCAGCCAAGTGAATTTTGAACTTCTACCTTCCAAATCTGAAATTTTTTCAGTAATATTAACATCTTAGACTAGCCTAATAAATGCAGCTCAGTGCTTCTTAAGCACTTCCCCATTCTCCCATCAAAAGCTTCACAAATACTATAGTCAAGACCACTCCAACTGGTAAAATTAATAAGCCTATTATACAAAACTGAAAAATCTCAAGCATTGAATTTTTAATGATTTGAAGCTATTTTCAATTCCTGATTCATCAAGCTAACTAAACCAAGGGCCTGACAAGTGCATTTTAAATACCTGCTTAACTACACAGCAGCAACTTAACTGTCTCCAAAAGCTACCAGGAGAGGACAGAATAACAAATCCAGTCACATTACTTGGGATCTGGTGGTCCTTCCCCCAGCGGCTTCATGGAGAGCTTGCACAATGACCTGAACACAAGGAAGGCATCCTTTTGCAGAACATGGGAAAATCTGGCAGCAGCTTGATGTCCAGATACATCTGTTTCCTTGAGAGTAAGAAACACAACACAGGCCCTCAGTGAGACAAAGAAACAGAGCAATTAGGAGATTCCATAGCTCCTCTGAGAATCAGCTAGAGTTTAAACTAAACCTAAACAGGATTACAAGGGATCTGGATCTTTTCACACACGTTGACTGACCCTTTGTCTCTGTCCCCACTCGGTATTAAAATACAACTAATATAATCAATTTTAAGACAGGTGTTTTCAATATATGTTTAAACTGCAGCTGCTGCTTCCTTTTTGAATCTGAGCAGGACACACATGTTAGAGTTTCTGTCCCTTTCTTCTGCCAAATCCCACTCTATCAGCTGTCACAATAAAAACATGTCTTATTTTGTAGATGTATATTGGCATCCAGTGCAGTTACTTACCAGATTATCAGTGGAGGAAACAGACTGCCCATCATCTGGAATCCCATTTGTTTGTACATTTTCATTGCTAGAGCCAGAAAGAAGAGTATCTGCAGTCTCTAATGCAGGCAGAGCCTTGACAGGTTCTGCTACCTGCTTTTCTTCAGCCACTAAAGGGGAAAATGGAAAGATGATTAAAATCATGCAAGAGTTTTCTGTCCCATGACTTTGTGAAGCTCTACCACCGAGTGGCACAGAAGTAGCACTGGTAAAATAGAAAGTTTCTCAGCTATCAGCAAAAGAATATTGAGATACAATCAAAAACTGTTCTTGCTGCCTTAGTAGGCGTTCTTGTCAAGATACTTAGCAACAATAATTACTTCCATGCTTTTATAATCAATACATATGCAACTATTTTACTTTAAAAGACTTTATACCTTTCACAGCTGAATCTACCACATCTTCCAAGATGCCTTGAACCATTTCCTTTCCTCCATCAATTGTTTCCTCTAATAAAACACAGAGAGAATTTTTGATTTAGTATTTTTGTTTATGAAGAAGACTAAAAGGAAAAACATGACAAAGGCAGAAGCATAAAAATTTATCAATTTTCTTCAGCAGCTCTCATTGAAAGTAATTCGTGAGAAATTAAAAAATACTCATTGATGTTATTTATGTTGTTTGAATCAAAGCACTGATATTTTTAATGCAGTTGTTTTGTCATTTTTATTTATCAACTGTTATAATTTTCTTTATCAACTGTTACAAACATTCCCAATGAAGATGCAGTATGTGTTGATGATAACATTTTTACCACAGGACTTCCCTCTACCTGAGAGCAGTTCTGTCACATCCCACATACCATGACAATTCTCCTCCTTTCCTTCCCCTTTATCAACCTGTTCAAGTCAAATTCCATTACAATCCTCTGTAGATAAAGTACACACGGTTTAACTGGAATTCTAGGGAGAACAGGAACCTTTCTGCAGCAGTTATAGCCGAGGATGGCAGCACACTGGAAATCTACTGAGGAGAGCCAAGGGAGCCAGTCACTCCATCAGGGCTCTCAAAGCGGCCTCCAAGAGCATTTTCTACAGGTTGGCTGTGAGTGAAAGCAACAGAGAGGTCTTGTGCTCACCTGCTGCCAGCAGGACAGGGGCCCGCTGCAGCTCCCTGCGGCCGGGCTCTCCACGGCCGGGCTCTCCAGGGATGGGCTCTCCAGGGATGGGCTCTCCAGGGATGGGCTCTCCAGGGACGGGCTCCCTGCGGCTGGGCTCTCCAGGGACGGGCTCCCTGCGGCTGGGCTCTCCAGGGATGGGCTCTCCAGGGCCGGGCTCTCCAGGGACAGGCTCTCCAGGGACGGGCTCCCTGCGGCCGGGGTCTCCACGGCCAGGCTCTCCAGGGACGGGCTCTCCACGGCCGGGGTCTCCAGGGACAGGCTCTCCAGGGACAGGCTCTCCACGGCCGGGCTCCCCGTTGGCCAGCACGGGCCCGGCGGTGCCAGCTCTGCCTCCCCAGGAGCTGTGCTGCCGCTGCCCCGGCCGTGGGGACCGCGACCCCGCCACCGCGGGGGACTGCGGCTTCTGCGCTCGCTCTGCCTCTCTGGACTCCTGCAGCTTGGAAAGCACATGTGGAACGGTTCATCTAAGCACAGGACACACTGAGGGAAGTCCTGAGGTGACTGATGATCCTTTGTGAACACGCGTTAAGACGTGAAACAGTGAAACTGTGAAACTACAATCACTTGGCCAATAAGATTAAGAAGATGCACTTCAATTTTATTTGAAAAGCATCATTTGTTTACCCAATGCCATTTGGCAGAAGCTATGGTGTGAAACCTTATTATCAGCAGAGCACACCACCTTGTATTCTCCACTCAGTCAGTATGCCTCACTGCACAATTTGACAGGTTTTCTAACATCACAAATCAACAGATATGCAACTACAATGACAGATTCATTAAAAGAACAATAATAATAAAAAGTTTTCAGTCATTTGTAAGCCTAAACATTTGAGATGAGAAAAAGTAATATCTACTTACAGCTTGATTTTCCATCCGTGTAAAAATTACATTTAACATCTGTGTAAGGGTAGCTTTGGCAGTTGTCTGGTTAATAAGATTTTTACTGGCCAGATAGATGTTGTAGCAGGTTCTAACCGTTTGAAGAATTGTTCCTTCATGAATTTCTATATATGGAGAGGTTACTGCAGTGAGAAGAGCCTAGGAAAGTCCATAACATGGTAAAAATGAAACCTGAGCAAGTAGTCAGCAATGCTCCTCACACATGTCTTCCAGAATAATCACTGGATTTGCTACAAAACACGGATACCTTTTTTTAAGGCTTTACAAGCAACAACATTTCAAATCAAAGAAAGTTCAAAAGGACTTCCACATCTCTACTCTCTCCTGAGCTGTTCTTAGAGGGTCTTATCAAAACTAACTTTCCACCGAGGAAGATACTCCACCTCCAAAAATATTTACTATATTCCATAGCTTCATTTCCACACAAGAGTCAACTGGCCTACACTAATGTCAAGATGGATTACTAGAAGGTTCACTAACCTCCAACCTCAGCTACAGTAGCCCAAGAAGATTTCAGAACCAGAACAATACTGATGGATAATTAATACCACACCTTGTTGAGAACATACATTGGCAAAATGGCCAGGGGAGCAGACAGGCTTGAACAGCATTCCATGGCACTGCATCCCAGTTCCAGGGCCTGCTATCAGGGCTGAAAGCAACTCCCTGGCCTGATGGAGGTAGGCAGTGAGCCTCTAAGAGGAGCACCAAGGTGTCTGAAAGATGGTTTATCTCAGAAAGGACAAACATTTTTAAAATATTCCTCTACACCCTGCTTTCCCAATAGGAAGATCACTTTCCTCACCAATTCTGCTCTGGTGACAGCCACCCTGAGTGCAGTGACACACAGAACAATGCAAGAAATGGAGCAAACGGGCCTTCAGTAATACTTTGCCTTTCTTTTTTTTCAGTTACAAAATGAGAGAGAAAGCAAATTAACATTGCACCAAAATGAATTGAACTAAATACCTTAATTATCTGCAGCTGCACTCCTTCATCTGTCTGAGGACCCTGAAAGCAATTGCAAATGGTTTCCACTATCCGGTCAATCAGTCGTTTTCCAGGAGCTCCGCTGTCCGGAGCGTTGCCAGTGATGTGCCCATAAGCAATGAGTTTCTAGACAGAAAGAATGCAGCTTAGACGACCATATACTGTTAGGAAAAACACAGTTTAGCACAGCATAAAAAGGTGTGTTTAGATAGCATACCTCACTTAACCAGTTTTAATGGAAAAATTTAACACCATCTATTATTGTCTGGCCAGCAAATACTTTGACTGCTCACATATGTGGACAAAACAGATTTCAGTATGACACAAAAGCTTTTTCAACTCAGGCCATTTCTTCATACCATAACCAGAGAAAAAAATTTTAACACCAGTCTTTTGCAGAGTGTGACTTCCTCTGTCACATCAGCACCACAAGAAACTCCAGGTGGTAACACTCCAGGTGGAGCACGACAGACGAAGCACCTTTAGTGCCGGGTGTGAGGATCCCCCAGCCCCAGCAAAGGGGCAGCAGCAGGGCAGCCACACTCCTCCCTGTGCCCAGTGCCCGGCCGAGTGTGGCCCTGGGCAGGGGCTGGGGTGGCTCTGGGCAGGGACTGGGGTGACCCTTGGCAGGGACTGGGGTGGCCCTGGGGCAGGGGGCTGGGGTGACCCTGGGGCAGGGACCTGGGGTGGCCCTGGGGCGGGGGCTGGGGTGGCCCTGGGCAGGGCCACTCCTCGCTGCAGGAGCTGTGTGCCAGATCTGGTCACTGCAGCTTTCTCCACCTCACTCTGACCCAGCTTACCCACAGCACTTACCTGCAAACAATCCAGGGAAGTACTGACGATGCGTGGAGACTTTGACTGGCAGGCCAGCTCAAATGGAAGGAAATATTTATCTGCTTCAATGAAATTTGCTTTTGGTGGAGCAGCAGTGCCTTCTCTAGGTCAGATACAAAGAATTATTAATTTTTCTAAGCATGTATATCACAGCAAACTACACTTTCTCCTTTTTCTTAATTTAGAGCTAAATAATGCACAGCAGCATACAAATATACTGCACCTTTCTTGCACATACTTTCCTAAACAAAGACCAATTTTCTTTAAAAATCACACAAAATCCATTTTACATTTATTTATATTCTATCTGATCTTTTTTGTCTCTTCTTCAGCTTAACTCTTTCCTCACTATACTCCAACACTGTCCCACTATCTGAAATATTGGAAAACTCCTACACAGCTGATACATCTACATCTGTTATTCAAAATGGATTAAACAGTGCCCATAAGCAGAACACTAAGCAAATAGAAACACATCTGGAGACTCATTTGCTCATTTTCAATCACAGCACAGTGCTGGAAAACTTTTTGAAAACTTTCCTTGCTGTAACATTTAAATTGATCTTCTTGATCTAGGTAACAAAGAGCACAAGCTATCAAACAGAGGGTATGTACTACTCCCCATACTTCCTATCAGCTACTGAGTCCAGTAAAAGGAAGCAAAAAACTGGCACCTTTTAGAAATTTCACAATTTTTTCCTGGTGAAATGCATAGGCAGTTATGACTTGAGTACCCACAGCCACAAACATTGTGTAAGTGAAACACACAGGCCAGGCGACGTTCTTGGCAGAAAGGTGGGTCTGGGTATTCACAAACTCACTGCTATAATGTACATACACTCTTACACTTCCACAAAATAATTCATTTGTTCTTCTCACACACTTCTGTTTAGAGTAATTCATAATTTACCTTTGCTTTTCCAGCTCACTTTTTATTTCATCTGGAAGAGAAAAAAAAAAAAAATTCAAGTCTTAGTTATCATTATCAATAACAGAGTAATAAAGCAAAGATGTTTAAATCAAATTTTTCACTTCGGTGTTTGCTAGTCCATTCCTGTAACACCTCAGCTTCAGAGATCAGAGTTTCACCAGTTATCGAAAGACGTATCTCTCCAATTTTACATTTAAAAAGCTACTTTTTCCAAACAAAAGGTATCTTTCTCAATAAAAGGTATCTTTAGAACTCTCAGCGAGTTCTACCATGCAACTTCTATTCAAGTGTAAGTCCACATCACAGGGTGTTCAGGTCTGTAGAAGCCTTTAAGCTACTGCATAAACCATGAGTCCAGTGCATCCAACCTTCCCCCAGATTGCTCATCCTAAGCCTTACAAGAAGAATCAGGAGATAGGAAATAGGAGATAGGAAAGCTCAAAAGCACTCTGGAAAGTGCAATTGATAGGAAATCTCAAATGCATTCTGTCCTTTTGCCAGCAGATTTTTTTTTAACTACACTTTCAAAGAGCTCTCATAAAACTGCAGAGACGAAGAAAGTTCCTTTCTCATTTCTCTTGTATTCAGCAGCAGATCCCAAAGATTCTAGTAAGGCTTTTTGAGGACTTCTAAGGTATCACCATGACACACAATACAGAGCAGCATAAGCACCCACTGTGAACACTGACAAACCCACATCTAAACCAGCTCCCACAGTAAGGCTGCACAGCTACACCATGTGTAACACCAGTAGAACCTGCCATCCCACCCTACAGCACGTGCTGCAATACCTGACTCTGCAAATTACCATGCTTACAAATCTTGTTTCGATTACAGGTATTAGAAAATGATCATTCATTCAGTATTTGTACTCCACAACTGTGGAGAGACACCACTGTTTGTGATCAGGTGTCCACAGCTCACATTATTTCAGTGCTGTCTGTGAACCTCAGGAATTTCTTCTGTCTCAGTAGAATCAATACACAAATCATACTAAGGAACAGGGACTGCAGCAGATTACAGGGTTTTGTCCAGACCTGCTTGTCAGTAAATGGCACAGGAATTAATCCTCGCAGCGTGTACTGATTTTGTAAAATTACTACCCACACTGGGTAGAGAAAATGGAAGCAGAACATAGCGAAAACCTGTATAACTATGAGCTGTGAGTAAAAAGCTCCATCCAGGATTACTGTTCCCTCTGCCATATCCACTTGTTAATGAGCATCAGTCTGACATCCCTCAGCTCTCATGGCACACAATCATGCCATACCAACTGAAGTAATGTTACCCACCCCAGAGTCAGCCAGAGAGACACCAGAAAAGTGGAAGAGCCTGGGCTGCACAGTGTTCCCAGCTCTCCTCAAACCCATCACACAACCATACCCAGCAGCTCTAAAGAACAGTTGTCACTTGCCAGCCCTGCAGATGCCAAGCCCAGCATTCAGCACTGAGGCCTGGGGGCTTCAAGGTCAGTAGGAACTTTGCAGCTCTGTGACAGAGCAAAGCCAGCACCACCATCCCCTGATGCTTTAGGCTTCAACTGGAGAGGAGACAACAGAATGGAGGTTTTGGTAAGAAATGACCAAGGTTTTGTGTGCCAAACAAACAACATAAATCTTGCACAGCACCACTTCTTAAACCACTGTGCTTTTCATTCCAGGATCCAGCTGGCATACCAATCAGGTGACTAGTCAGAAATTCAGTTCAACATAATTTCAGTTCAGGCCTTTTGATTTAATTACCTTCCCCATCTTTAACACCATATTATAATCCAAAGAGAACATATGTGACCCACCAATGTATTGTGTCCCTGTTTTGATCTGCCTTGCTCTCAGCACAGCACATTCCCATAGCATCCAGGAACAGCTGCTTCAAACACAGAGTCTTCTGGGTAGCTTTACACCTTCAGAACACTTAGTCCTGCCTCCAGGTTTTGGCAGAGAAAGGCATATTTTAGCTATAGCTACAATCCCAAGCACAGCAGAATGCCAGGGTCAGCAAAACATAATTAATGCTGTATTTCAGACACCCTGTAGAACTACGGTGTACAGAGCTTTTTCTTAATGAAGAAATTTTTCTAATGCAAAAACTTCATTAAGTTTCTCTTTCTTTCAAGATCATTTCCCCCCCATACTGATTGTTTTGCAGAGTAAAAAAGATGTTGAATTTAAAGATTCACAAAGATTATAGCCTTAGGGAGACATGATCATGCCCATCTTTACAGATACTTGTCATAGATCTTGCACTGGAAAAATAATGCAAGAATAATATCCCATATTAGAGCAACAACAGTTTAACTCTCAGAAGTATTCTATAAACAACAACCACAAAAAAGATCTAACCAAGGCCTGACCAAGTTCCCCACAGTTTTATTATAATAAAAGCTTTTCTAAAGCCATATGAAAACATCTTCACCACAACAGTATTTTAATACATAATACTGGCAGAAAAGAATAAATGAAAGGACAAAAGGCAGCTGCAGGCATACTTCTGCTACTTATTGCATCAAAACAGTTTGAAAACCTCCACATCTGAAGTACTCATTTGGTGGCCTGACCATCACAAATAAGTAAAACAGAAGTAGCTGCCTAATTGAAGTCTGCTGCCAAGAACAGCTTGCCAAGCCCTAACCAGACACGGCCAGCTTCCAGAAACCGCCCGCCACTGGTCCTGTTTTTCTCCAGTCACAGGAGTAAGGGCTACAGCTCAACTCCCTTCTGCAACTACAGAACACAGTCCCAGTTTTGGTCAACACCTGGTCACCCCAGCACAGTGCTGACCCTTGACTTGGTGCTTTAGGTACCAGAGCTCCCTGTCCCTCCCACGGCACCTCCTTCAATCAGAAATGTCTTCAACCCCTGTGCTGCCCATCACACCAAAGTCTGGCAGCATTCCTACCAGGCAACAGACCTGGAACAAGCATGGCTTTGCAGCAGCTTCTTCCAGAGTTTCTGGCCATAAAAGCAGGGTGAAGATCACATTGGGTAGCTGTCTTTCTCTAGCAGATGGATGGGTTCAGTTCACTGCTACTGAAAACTACACATTAAACCAGAGGGCATTTGTTACCTGCCTGCAGCTCGATGCCTGCTCTGCGGCCTTAGTCAGGTTTGTGTCAGCGGCAGCAAGCGAGCCCCTGTGCAAAAATGGCTTGTGCTGGCCCAGGCCATGGGCCACGGTCCGAGCAGCAGGGCCAACACAAACAGCAGGAGCAGGCAGAGCTTCCCCAAGCCCAGCCTGCCTTCCGCTCCCTGCAAAGCCCAACAGGCATCGACCACGCGTGGCTGTGCAGAGCCCTCCCGAAAAGGGCCGGGCCAAGCTGGACTCTGCCCTCTGAACACGCTGGCCAAGAGGCCAAACCAAGAAACACAACTTATTGTGGACATGTGTCATTTATACACAGACACTTCCTCAACGTGCAACCAGATTCCTAGGTGAAGGCAGGGTTGAAAAGATTTTAACTTGTTAACAAGCTAACTAAACAAATTCTGTTGCTTACAAAGCTTGAAGATATGTGTGTGGAGCTGCTATCAGAGAAGGCTGCAGAACCAGCGTGGCTGCACAGTATGTCATTAAAAACAGCCCCAGTAGGGCAGGACTAATAGTTTATGTGAGTGACCCAGGTGCACAGTTAGCATTAGTCTAACATGAACTGCTGGGATACAGACTGTCAGTATTCCACTGCAAATTTTTCAGGAGATTTATTAAGAATCATGTGTACCTGGAGCTTTATGTAAATGCAAATGCTTATTAAACAACTACTTTTATACAATACAATGGTCTGTTGAAAAGAAACTTTCTTTAAAACACAGTTTTCTAAAGCAGAGCAGAACAGCTTCTCTGTTTAAAACCCTCAATTTCTCCCAGTCTCTCCTGGGGTTTACTGGCACTACAACTACAGGAGACAACCGTTACACCTACTGATGAAGCAAGAGACTGAATGAAGGAATCTATTCAAACTCTGCTTACTTAACATTAACGCTGTGTATTTCAAAGGAGGGCGTGGAAAAGAGGCAAAAAACCCAAAAAAACCACCACTGTGAAGTGGTTTTGTTCCTTGTCCTCCACACTTGTATTTCTGTCCTACTTGCACCTATGTTACTTCTGATTTCTACAAGATCATGTGTATCTTGTAGTCCAAAACTGGTCAGTATTAGGCCAGTGAAATGACTGAATGACACAGAAAAAGGGGTAAGAAGAATTTAAATTTAAAAAAATTAAAGCAGATTAAAATTAGAATTAAAGAATACTTATATTTCCTACACAAGAGAGACAGCAACATTCAGTAGCAGTTTACTTAGGTTCTTAAATTAAGGAGTTATATGTACAAACCAATACAGAACTCATGTAAGAAAGCAAGAGCATCATTCCCACGGTTAGAAACTTCTGTCTCACCAAACAACAAATGCAAAGCTCAGGTAAGTAACAGAAACACTACTGCAGTAACAAAAGAAAGAAAAGTTTCTGCTATGTTGAAAAGAAAGTTTCTTTTCAACATAGCAGAAGCCATAAAAACTGGTTCATTTCTCTTAGGCAGCTGTAGAATACACCCGTTTCTCCCTACTTGGAAAAGAAATTCATCTTGGACTCCGTCCCAGGAGCAGGTATCAGCTGCACGTGCTCCATGTTGCCTGGTTTACAGCTGGCACAATGCCACAAGGCTCCAGTGGAAACACCACTGCACAGAGAGCACTGCACAGCAGAAGGGGCTTCCTAAGTAGAAAGGGATTATTTGAAGTCTTACCTGGAGAAAAGTGCAGCAGACAACAGCTGACACAATGACCACTTTCATAAATAACTACATTTCTTTCAAACAGAATTATTTTTATTCAGTGTTAACTGGACTTTTTGTTATTATTTACAACACTGAAGCTTCTTTCATCCCTGACAGTTTCTGTAGGTTACAAAGTTTGGCCTGAATTCTGCAGATTGCCAGTAACATTCTCCCCACATTTCCTCACATATTTACTATTGCACAGAGCTTGAAAATTAAGTTGAAACTTTTGGAACTGTCATAGTCTTAGTTAATCCAAAGTATATGCCTAATTAAAATTAAGAATATGGAAATAAAACTGATTTTTTCACTCAAAAAAAGGAAAAAAAAAAGGCTTAACTAAAATAGAATAAAGTTTGGGGGAAAAATCACATGTAAATAAAAGAAACCCCATTCCTGTTAGCAACCTAAAATGATCAAGTAATATTCACCAAACGTAACAGATCCTCCCAGACAGTCATCCAGGCCCCTATCAGCTGGCCAACACAAGGTTATCTCCTTCTGCTGACCTCTACTTTAGCCCAGGGAAGCCCACGGGCTCCTTTTCAAAGCAGGTTTATGATGTGCACCATGACAAGCACCAGCTCCCCTCCCACACACAGGCACAGCTACAACGCTGGCAGGTGCCACGGGGCTGTTGCACAACGCTCTCCCAAAATCTTCACCTGCAATGCCTGAGCAAACACAGACCTTCACCAGGCATCTGACAAGGAAGTTCCATTCCTCAACCTCTAAATATAGTTATACAACAGCAAAACAAGGTTCTCAGCCCTGTAAATGGGTTCAGAGCATGTGGGGGAAGAGATCAGGAAAAGAAACTCATTAGGAAAAGCAGTCTCTGACTGCTGGGGCATATGTGTTTGCACTACAGATCTCCTGGCAGTAAAGACAGCTGGGAGGAGGATAAAAATGACAGCATTTCTTTGAGCTCACTCTGCCCAGGACACAACTTGCACCTGCCCAGCCTCCTTACATACCCAACCTGTCTTTTCTTCTGTCTTGGATACACTAAATGTTCCCAATTCAAAGGAAAATATTGATGGGAAGCAACCAAAACTGAAAGTGTCACTTTTGCAAATTAAGAAAGGGCCATGGAGAACTGCAGCTGCAGTTTATCTTCTCCCTCTCTGTGACACACCACATGCTGCCAGAACTTTCACCACAGAAACCTGAACACAAGCTCGTACTTGCAGATTTCAGGACCAGCCCACCAAATTCGCAAAAAGTGCTTTCAGCTCTGAAAACATCACAGATACTACGTGTACTTGGCCACAATGCTAACAGTCCTCAGCCAGTGCAAACACGACCTGGAGATCAGAGGTCAGTTTAACATCCCCAGAGGCTCCGGGACTCCCCAAGTCCCTAAGAGGGCCTTAAAAACTCTTGTTTCCTAATCCAAAAGCTGCAATTAATTTTCTCAAAACCGAAATGGCAAGACCAAGTCCCTACTGTTTCACACCGAGACTAGAACTTAACAAAACAGGCATTTGTGGGATTTCCCCTGGTATGTGCACGGCCTGTACTGGAGGGAGATCTCTCCGCTCCAAGGTCCCGAGAGGCTCTCCCGCACCCCGCCGGGACGCCAGCTGCAGGGGACAAGTGCCGGAGGGCTGGGCCCCTGTCACCGCCGCGCCCCGCGTGCCCTGTGCGGGCCGGGCCGGGCCGGGCCGACTCACCCAGCGCCACCTGGCAGGCTGTCCGCAGCTGCCCGTGCGGGGGCCGCTTCGCCTCCTTCTCCGCCAGGATCTTCTCCAGCGCCCGCGACACGAACATGCTCTTAGTGCGGGCGTCCTGCTCGTGAGGCGGTGGCTGCATGGCGCGGCCGGGAGCAGGAGCCGGGCGGGCACTCGGGGCCCGCGGCACCACCCGGAAGGGACGCGCCTCCCTCAGCGGCCGCGCCGCCGCCACGGCGCCGCCATGTTGGCACCGTCACGTGACTCGACCCGGCCCTGGCCCCGCCCGCGGGGCCGCGCGTGACGGAGGCGGAGCGAGGGGCGGGGGCGAGGGCGAGGTGAGGGGTGGGGCGAGGGGCGGAGACAAGGGCGGAGTCAGAGGTCGCGCGAGAGGCGGGGCCAAAGGGCGTGGTCAGGGGGCGAGCAGAAGGCGGGGCGAGGGCCGTTCAGGGGGCGGGGTGAGTCACGTGACTCGACCCTGAGGGCGGAGCCTGAGGGCGGAGCCTGAGGCTGAGGGCGGAGGCGGAGGCTGAGGGCGGAGGCTGAGCCTGAGGGCGGAGGCTGAGGCGGAGGCGGAGGCAGAGGCTGAGGCGGATGCAGAGGGAGAGGCAGAGGCAGAGGCTGAGGGCGGAGGCGGAGGCTGAGGGCGGAGGCTGAGCCTGAGCCTGAGGCAGAGGCTGAGGCTGAGGGCGGAGCCTGAGCCTGAGGGCGGAGACTGAGGCTGAGGGCGGAGGCTGAGGGCGGAGGCGGAGCCTGAGGGCGGAGCCAGAGGCTGAGGGCGGAGGCTGAGCCTGAGGCAGAGGCTGAGGGCGGAGGCGGATGCAGAGGCTGAGGTTGAGGCTGAGGCTGAGGCGGAGGCAGAGGCTGAGGCGGATGCAGAGGCAGAGGCAGAGGCAGAGGCTGAGGGCCGGGGCCGTCGCTGCCGGGGAAAAGCTGTAAATTACTGGCCGGGCGGTCGCGTTGGTGGAATGCTCGGTTTTACAACGCTTCTAACCTAAGTGTCGCCATTCGCATTATCCCTGTTAACTCTCACACAGTCCTGTAACGAGGCATGCAGAAAGAGCGTGTCTAAAAGAGCCAAAGTCGTACATTAATGAAGACTCAGTACAAATTAAATTTTCAGTTACAGAAGTTAACCCTCCGTGAATGGCCTTGTACCTAATGGAACCTTCTCCCTTTGCCCTTTGCCTGGGTGAGCGGCTCGCAGGCCGCAATAATCCGTGTTCGCTCCACTGAGGCCCTCCTGGCGCCGGGACACCGCTGCCGCTTCCATGAGTTCACCAAGGTCTCCTTCAAATTCAGATGGCCACGTCTAATGGAGAATGCAGGAGCACATTCAGTTCTCTAGACTGCAGTTTTGTTTCCTTTTTTCAAACAGCAGGACTCCAACTCTTTAAAATGTCGTTAACGAACCTTTAGTGTTGATTTGTCAAGAACTGCAATTTTTCTCCCCAGAACCACTGACAAAGGCTCTGAACACCTGTACAAAGCATCAGTTTAGTGTTATTACCCAGGGAAAATGGACCAGTCCTTGTATTTTCAGACACATATTTTCTAAATGTGCTCCCAGTCAGAAATGTGGCTGCAAACGCAGCCCCAGTGTACACGTCTGGGTGCTCCTTTCACTTGCACTGCTGCACATTGAGGGTAATTCTACTGTTATCACTGAAATTACAGTGATGCAGAAATGACATAACTAAAAGACAAATAAAGCCCTGAATCTTTATTGAGAGTTGCTGACTTAGTTATTGACACAAAAGGAGGCTGTAATTACTGTCAGCAGCATTGCAGAACTAATTAAGCAGCAGAGCTCTTCACTTATTGTCAGCCAAATTATCAGTTCTGATTTTAGGGTTTTTATCGTGGGATAGGATTAGTTCTCAGGAGAGAAGGAAATGGATATTTTTAGAAAATAGATTGAACAGATGGTTTAACTGAGATTTAAAAAATGTTTTCTACCAGGCAAAACCCTTGTTTTTGAAACCATGGAGTAGTGTCTGAATTCATAGGTGCAGGGCTGCACTGAGGTCGTGGTTTGGATTTCAGAGAGCCAGGAGTCAGCAGCAGGCCCCGGTTTCTCTGATTGCCAGCGGCAGTGAAGGGCACAGAGCTGCTGCATGGCACGCTCCCCTGGCTGAAGTTTGGCTAAAGCCAAGGGCTTTTCACCTGGACACCAAATGCACCTGCACATGGCAGAATGCCTCGGTGTCTCCCAGCCCACACAACGTCTCAGCCACAGAGACAGACAGTTCTAAACTCTAATTAGGCCTGCTCAGCACGCTGTGCTCTCCTTACACTGACATCTCTGTGTAGCTAAGTGCAGCCAAAGAACAGTGGGGTTGGTATCATTCTTACAACTATTTTCAAATATTCTTTTCCTCAAAGCATTTTAAAATTACAGTAGCTGATTTCTGAGGGAAGAATGTCAGTAATTTGGCTAATTCAAAAGCGACACAGCCCAGTGCAAAGTTGCTGCTGAGCGCAGCGCCATGCTGCAGAGCGATGCTGCTGGCTGCAGGCAAACAAAGAAAGCAAGCCTTTGCAGGGACAGAAGGCAGACCAAGGGGAAGAAATACATTTATCTGCATGCATGTGCTTGCCAGTGGATTCAGTGCCAATTACCAGAATTGCTATTAAACTGCTGTAAATAGCTCATTGTGGCAAATGCGTCTGTAGTGCGAGACATAAATCATGAGCAAACAATGCCTAACAGGTGGGCAGAGTTCACAGTTTGTACAAGCTACTTCCTTGGCAAGAGGCTTCTCTGGACTTCTGCCCAGAGGCCAGGTGCTCTGCCCTGACTGACAGGACTAACCTCGCAGCACTTTCCCACTGGCGTATTGCTACATAGCTCCTTTTAGGAAGGAAACCACAGTCTAAAAATAGATGCAGAATGGACAGGAAAATTCTTGGAAAACCAGCACTGGTCTGTATAGTAGCTTAGTTCCCAGTCCAGCATTAGCATAGAACTTCTTTTCTCTTCTTCTGCCCATTTTTAATCATTTCCTTCAGGACTGATTCTATTTATTCTGCCTGGCTTCCAGCCACGCTTCCCACTGTCCAGTAATGTACTTATTAGTGGATTTCCCGGGGGGGTCCTCATTTGATTCACTGGCTCAACTGTCTCATTTTTTCCAGTTCAACACTGCATGACCTAAAATCAATAAATCCACATAGTAAAGCGTTCTCCCACCGCTAGCAATATAACTGAGGTAAATCCTGAGTGAGTAATGATGCAAGTATTTATGTGATATTAGCGAGGCATTTCACCATGATTGTATAGACAATGCTCTCCCTTTCATTCCTGCTATTTTCTTCAAATCCCATTCTTAGACCTTCTGTGTCTTCCGACCACCTCACTGCCAGCAGCCTCACACAGAACTTGCACTCCAGCCCAGAGAAGCTCTGTAATGTGCAAAATGGACAATGTATCTGAACAGCACTGTGCAGTGTCATGAGATGAAAAGAAAAATCACTTGGCAGGAGATCTGGAGCTGTTTGTCCACCAAGCTGGGCCAGGCTGGGCAGGAGCTGCTGCTGCCAGCCCTGCACCTCAGCCCTGCACTGCTGCCAGCCCTGCTCCTCAGCTCTGCACCTGAGACAGCCCTGCACTGCTGCCAGCCCTGCACTGCTGCCAGCCCTGCACCTCTGCCAGCCCTGCACCTGAGACAGCCCTGCACTGCTGCCAGCCCTGCACCTCAGCTCTGCACCTCAGCCAGCCCTGCACCTCAGCCCTGCACTGCTGCCAGCCAGTGCCCAGCTCTCAAACCTGACTGCAGCACTTCTGTTCACTGCTGGGATTTACCTTTTGGCACAATATTTTACCTTGAAGTAAGTTAGAAAGGATAATAGCAGTATTTTGAATAACTGAGATTTATACAATTTTAAGTAAATACAAATTAAATTCTTCTTTCCTTCTAAAGCCATCAGGAGAGATCAGATTTGCAGTTCTCTCTCACACAAGAGAACTTGCACTTTCTTATAAAAAAACCTGAAATACATACTTTGGCTATACTCCAAATCTGCAGTTTTCATTTCTTTCACATTTCAAAGCCTGTCCTACAGAATAATTTTGTTAAATCAATTTTGTTTTGACCTTTCAATCAAAAGCAAGTTAGAGATTTTTTTTTGACTTGTCCTGGCAGAAGGAACCAATCCTGAGATCAGCTGTGGTACCAGACTCACATGATGCCATTGCAATAAATCACGTGTGCTGGACAGGAGCAGACACAGACCCTTCAATGCTCAACTGCAGCCTCTATTCCTTGTTATGATAACAAATAATATGTAACCATAAGAGGATGTGTTAGGAATATAACAGTGTTCAGACAAGCAGAGATGCAACAGAAGATCAGACTTTAAATCTAAATCAAAGTGTTCACATGTTCAAATATTATTGCCTTCATGGCCCATATTACTGAACAACCACTGCTCTCACTGATAGCAGCGTGTGTTTCTGATGAGCAGCAGCCCTAAACACAGTCATTTTTAAGAGCTTAACATATTCAGGCTTGAAAATTTCTAACTATTTTCCTTTTACAGTGTTTAGAACCATATCTAAACCACAAAAGTCTGCAATTACCTAAATACAGAGAAACATTGGAAACAACATGTTCTGAAAACAACAAAAAGGGCATTTATTTTTAAAGGATAGCAGTCAGAGTGAAGGAGCAGTTGGGAGAAATATTTTTGCCGACTCCTGCTTTTTCCTGCAGAGTGAGAAGTGTAATTGTTTGGAAAGATGCAAATGCAGTTGAGTAGCTCCCACACCCTGAGGTGCTGGAGAGGTGGAAGACCCGGGGCTGGATAATCACCCACTTGCAAATTTCCTGTCTGAGAGGTGATAATGAGACTTTACTTGCCACACAAGCAAGTGCTAGTTAGAGTTGTGTGTGTCTGAATGGCTGTTCCATGTTGTATCTGTGCCCAGAACAGCCTGCTTTGCTCAGCTCTCTGCTTTTCACCAAGGTAAGTGTATCATGAGGCAGATTTTGTTGACACAAACCTTGTACCCAGTAAAAACAAAGGAAACATAATACTAAGCTGCTGAAGGTCCTGGTTTTCAATTATAGTTGATAACTTCAGTCAGAAGATATGAGTAGCTGTATGAGGAATTAAAATGATAAGTGACCTTCTCTCTGACCTTTAATCTGATCTTTATTTCTCATCATTTCTCGTAAGAAACTCAGAGTGTCATCAAGAAATGTCCCTAGCTTTACCATGCAGTATGGACCTTGTGTGTGTATGTGCAGAGCTCTTCATGT